TTTTTAATTTTTTAAGTAGTTTAGGGAATTTAGAAGCTACAATCTTAATCTCATCTGGCATCACTGGGCCAAAGTTGGGCGATGAAATTTGCATTTCGGTGTGGGAAATAATTTATGGATGGAAGTGAGCGAATGGGAATGTGTACCACCTGCTTACCCACTTGCAGATTGTTCAATTTCTTTCACTTGACTCTTACATTTTACCCAAATCGACGGGAAATTCGCATTAATAATATTAACAACAACGGTTTATTCCGAAACGATTTTTTCCTATTGTAAATAACACAACAGTGATGTCACCGTTGACGTGGATGAGATAAGATATTCTACAATCATCTCGACAAATAAACAATTTATTGGACGGTTTTCGCAAGAAAAAATACAAATTCTTGGCTTGGCATTTCGCCTTGACCTCAACTGTTGAGGTTTGAATGAATCTCTTTTGTGCTAAATAAACGCCATTTTTGCTTTTGTTACATCAAAACTATTATTTCTTCTTTTCGAGTGAAAAACCGCTAAAAAGTAATTCAAAACAACTAAAAAANTATTAAACAACACACAACACACAAAAAATAATAAATTAATCTTTACTAAATACTTATTCAAATTTAGTTATTAAAAACTTTTATTTTATTGTTATTAAAAAAATTATTTAATTAAAGGTTCTAGGTAACCAATTTTTCACCGATTTAAAATTACATTTTTAGGTTAATTAAACAACACACAAAACACAAAAATTCAAAATGCTGCTTTATATGGGCTTTGGGCATTTGAATACATCAAATTTAACATAAAGTACGCCCTAACGTATAAATTGAAAAACATACGTAGTTAATAACTATATTTAAGTCCGTCACTGTTGTCAGTGTTTCCACTCTCAAATTTAGTTATTAATAACAAATATGTTATTACGTTTACTAAAAAAATAGTTTAAAGAAATTGGATAGGCAATCAACTATACACCAATTTCAAATGGCATTTTTAAAAACGTATTAAAAAACACACTAAACACAAAAAATAAATTTTTACTAAGTACTTATCCAAATTTAATTATTAACAAAATTTATTTTATTGTTATTAAAAAATATTTAAATAAAGAAGCTAGGCAACCATTTTTACACGGACTTACATTACATTTTTAGGGTAATTAAACAACACATAAAACACAAAAAACCCACAATGCAGCTTCACTATTCCCTTAAAAATTTTTTTGCACCTTTAGATACATAAAATTCAAAATAAAGTACTCACAAAAGCATAAATTAAAAGATATGGATAGTTAATAACTATATTTAATTCCGTCACTGTAGCCACTATTTTGACTCTTAAATTTAGTTCTTAATAACAAATATGTCATTATGTTTACTATAATTTATTATTAAAAAAATAGTTTAAAACAAATGGGTTAGGCAACCAATTATACGCAAATTTAAAATGACATTTTTTAAAACTTAATTAGACAACATGCAAAACACAAAAAATAAAAACAAAACTTTATGAATTACTTATTCAGATTCACTTATTGCCAAATTTTATTTTATCATTATTATAATTATAAGAAATATTTTAATTAAATGTGTCAGGCAACCAACTATGCACCTATTTAAAACAACATTTTTAAAGCTTAACTTGGACAACACCGAAAACGCAAGGAATGGATAATGAAACTTTAAATTGCTTAATTGGGCTTTTATTTGGATACATAAATTTCAAAACAAAGTTCGCACTACCGTATTATTTAAGAAACATACGTAGTCAATGACTATATTTAAGTCGTCAATGTTGCCAGTTTTTCCAAATTTAGTTAATTTTTGCCTTTCCTGCGATAAGAATCTCAGATTGAGCGCCAGGGCTGCCGCCCCCAGGCCTGTGGTGTGGTCCGTGCATCCGTAAGCTATTATGTTGGTAGTCCTTTTAGAATTTTTGGTACTTTTGTAACACCCAAATGGAAGTTGCCAGTCTAAAATTTTGTTTCTCCAAGTGTTGGACAAGAATTCTGAGTGGCCTTCAAGGCCACACAGAACCACTAAAATATTTTTTTTTGCAAATTTGTTGTTTTTTTTTAATTTGGACTTACTTTGTTCTAAAGCAATGTCGTGAGCTGGGAAGCCCAATTCTTCATTGGTGCGAATTTCACGCAACATTAGTGAGCAAAATTTTGATGTCAATTCGTGGAATTTTCGGTGGTTGAAAGGGCACTTTTTCAGTCGCACTATTTGCAAATAAAATACTCTAAAAAATATGAAAAAAAATTTTTTTTGTTATGTTTTTTTTACCTGTGTGAAAGCAGGTAACCGTGATCAACTCTTGCTTCCAGCATCATTTCGTGACAAAATCGACTAACGTAACAATTTTTTTGCAAAATTTCCATCAAACAATGGTCACTTGGAACGCCCTTATACGATGCGTGTTTGTTTTTTATTATGTCGTCAACAGTCCAGTTTTGGTAAATCCCCAAATCGGGTAGAGATTTCCGAAATTGTACTTCATGAAACCAGTTTTCAGGGAGTAACAAAAATTTCTCTACTACAAAATCAAAAGTAATTGCACATTTTTCAAAACGCGGAAATTCATACAAGTGACCATTTTACTCGGAGTTTTCGGTAAAATTGGCCTGATGAAATCTCGAATCGCCTCAAATTTCCTCAAAAGTGGGCGATAGTCGAAGGTCGAATCCACAATTTGCAAAATTTGAGCTTGGGACAATTAACAAAAAAAATTAACACAGATTGTGATTTCTGATAGTACACAACCTTGACCTTGAGACGGTCAAGATCAAGGTCACACTATATTCGTTCTCTCACTCTTTCTTATCTCTCTCACTTATTTTTTCAAGGTCAACGTTCTCTTACATTTATTCAAGATCATCTACTTCAGGGTTAAGAGAAAGTGGCCTTGACCACGAATGTGGTGACCTTGATAACTAAAATGAAAGGCTAAATGGTTGGCCTTGAAAAAAACGGAAAACATGAGATGGCATTGAAAAAAGTGAGTGAGAGAGATATAGAAACACATAAATATTGTGTAACCTGACCTTGATCATCTCAAAGTCAAGGTTGTGCCCCATTCAAACCCGTTTTTGAATTTTTAAACTTTTTCGATTTTTTTTAGATTTGCAGGTTCCTTTTTAAAAATCGATAACCCCGCCATTTTTTTTAATTGTGTTTAGGAATATGAAACAGGAAAATTAGATCTTTCCTTTGGTGTATCATAATTGAAAAAAATATTACGAAACTCCCAAAATTTAACGTAATTTTGGAAAACTTTAAATATCCAAAACTCGATTTTTTATCCCTAAGTTTAATGGTTTTCAAGTTATTTTGACTTTTTTTAACATTGAGAAAAGTTTGTAAGCAAAAAAATGTGAAAAAGTTGTAAAAGAAGAAAAATGTTCGTAAAAAGGTTAAAAATAAAAAAACTGAAAGATAAACATAATAAAATTTATTTAAGTAGGTGCAATAAAAAGAAAYTGAATTAAAAAGAAAAAAAGAAAAAAAATTAGGAAAATGTAATGAATCCCAAAGACTAAAATCTTACTAAAACCACAAGAAGTTGTCAAATCTCTACAAACCTTACAAAAATCTCC